AGCGGGGTTTCTCCGCCGTCGGTCGCCTGGTGCAGGTTTCTGGGCCTGCAGGGTTTTGTCGTGTCTCCGTTGGTCCTGTCTGGGGTCTGCCTGCTCCGTTCTCTGCCTTTGCAGAAGGGAGTTGCTATTTACATGTTGCATGTTGCAGTGGTGCCTGTTGCTGCTGCTGCACGTGTGCATTGGTACCGTGTTTCACGGTGGCGTGTCCTTGTTCCTGTGTCCGGTTGTGGAGTGGCACTTTGCTGCCGTTTTGTGCCTGGGGATTGCGTGGGGGTTTTTCTGTCCCTGCCTGATTGTCCACCCCTGGTTGTTCTCCTGGGGTTTTTGTGCTTCTGCTCTTTCTTCCTGCCTCCTCTGCAGCAGGGATGTTCTGCGTGTGTTCTTAGGCGTTGGTCAGCCTGTGTCCTGTGATGTGCTTCTTTGTCTCGGTCTATTGCAGTTGTTCGTACCCCTTGGTTCGGGTACTGTTCTGGCGGCGACCCTTCCACCTTCTTTGGTTTCCTAGCTTGCCCTGCCGGTTGTTTTTTTTTTTGGGGTCCTGCGATGTCTCGCGTCGGACCCGTCGTTTCTGAACTCCTGGCGGGCTTGCATGCTTTGGGGAGTTTTTCTGTTCGGCAGACGTTCCATCTCCTTGTGCCGCCTGGGTTTCGGTGGTTGCGCCCGAGATCTTCCCGCGGCTCCGCCTTTTTCCTGGGCTCGGAGGGGCCTTGTCGGGGCTGCTTATGTTCTGCCTCGCGGTCTCGCCTCCGGTTGGTGGTCGGGTGCCTTCGTGGTAGGTGTCCCACCTGCGTGCTTCTCTTGGCGGCAGTATGGGGTATTTTGGCGGTCCTTCCTTTTCCTGTCCCTTCTTAGGTGGTTACTCTTGTTAGCTTGGGTCGAGTCGCTGAGTTATCTTGCGCCTTCGGTTTTAGCGTTTTGGTTGTTTGGTGGCAGCAGTCTCAATCTTTTCTGGCGCGGGGTGGGGCTGCTGCATTCTGGAGGGGTCCAGGGTTTGTTGGTGCTTCGTTGGTCGGGCCGGGGGTGTGTCGTTTGTGTTCAGTGGCGGCCCTCCGCTGTTGTTTGCGTGCCACGGCGTTTGGGTCCAGAGCGCGTTTTGCGTTGCTCCAGTTCTGTTCTTCCCAGTTCGCGGGTGATAGTGTCCTGGGTGGTCAGCCGTGTTGTTGCGGCTAAGCTGCATGTGTTCTTCCCTCATGCCTGTGGCGTTCGTGGCTTCGCTGCTCTTGCTGCCGTCTGGGATATGGCCTTGCGGTCTTTCGGCATGGATTTTTGGTGTTCGTGCAGGGGCCTTGCTGCTCGTGGTTCTCGTGTTGTTCCCGGGATTTTCGGGGCTGTGGCGCCTTGGGTTGGCGTTTGCTGCCGGTTGTCTCGCCTCCTTGGGGGGTGCGTGGTGTCCGCCTCCCGGTTCTGTCCCTTTGACCTTCCTCTGTGGGTAGTTAGCTCCGGGGAGCCGACGGGGCTCCCCCCAGAAAACCAGCGTTGAATGTAATGAAACGCCATTTTCTGGGTGAGACCCGGAGGCTCCCCGGCAACCCTCCCTCCCTCCGGTCGGCGTTTTTCGCGTGTTTTGATATCCAGCCTCAGAACTGATGGGTGGATAGCCGGCGTGGGAGGTCTGGGGCTCCCCCTTCCCCCTCCCGGGAAGGGGGGAGCTGCGCAGACAGCGGCGCGGTGACGTATGACGTCATACTAGTTTCCTTGTTTTCTGTTGAAGAGTTCTATCCACTAGTTCGGCTTTAGGTAGCAATTTTCACCAGAATAGGGGTTTGTTTTGGAATGCTTACCTTTCTGGATGCTTGACCCGGTCGATGGCAGACATAGAATGCTTCCAACCACACGGGGGTTTCTATAGGCCATTGCTCCCCTTGCCTCTCTGAGGGGGCCAGGTTCTGGCTCGTGGTCCCCGGTAGGCCCTAGAACTCCATACACATGACTGATGCCAAAGTCTGACATTAGCATATCAGCCGGTAAAGCTCCGGGGAGCCTCCGGGTCTCACCCAGAAAATGGCGTTTCATTACAGAGGGAGCCGGTCGGCCGAGCGGACAGCACGCTGGACTTGTGATCCTGTGGTCCTGGGTTCGATCCCAGGCGCCGGCGAGAAACATTGGGCAGAGTTTCTTTCACCCTATGCCCCTGTTACCTAGCAGTAAAATAGGTACCTGGGTGTTAGTCAGCTGTCACGGGCTGCTTCCTGGGGGTGGAGGCCTGGTCGAGGACCGGGCCGCGGGGACACTAAAAAGCCCCGAAATCATCTCAAGATTACATTCAACGCTGGTTTTTTTACATTTTTAGGCAATGCTGTGGTCACAAGCTGAACAGCAGGATCTGTGAGCTCATGCTGCATGCGCCAGCCTTGATGGCTTACTCAGTACTGAATTATGTGCTATTAATGCTCGTGCCACTTTTTGGGTGGCTTAATCTCTATCAATCAGTACTGAGGCTTTCACACCTGGGAATGTTGCCCACGATTTTTAAAAACAATGGCGTCTGTTTACAAGAGCCCTGAGGAAGCTGATGTGAACCCCGTGTAGCCACGGGACTTTTAAATCTTGCGTGGTACTCCCAAACATCATATGATGGCGTGCACAATTTATCGACAGTTACTCAAGACATCATATAATGTTTTGTGCAGTTTAAGGGTTAATGAGGAAGAAACATCCTCTAATGCCTCTACTCACAAATATTTTCTTAGGTTAATCTTTACCACTGACTTTCTGGAACCCATGGCTTGAAATATAATAATTACTTGTATGTTTAGAAACCAAAAAAGCTGAAAACAATGAAATTGTTTACAAAGAATTCAAGCGCGATCGTCACTACCCAGGAGACACTGTTAAACTGAGGTACTGCCTCTGGCTCCTGTTTACCATGCCTGTGCCTTGTGGTGTGGTACTATCATAAGTGGTGATGCACGAGCCTGGGGTTATTTCTCAAGTACTTGGGCTGCATGCACCTAGGTGCCCTGTAAGTACTGCCCTTGGGGCTTGGGGTCACCTTCCACAAGTCACCTTGGGGTCTTCCTCCGCAAGGTCTTTTGCTGCTCAGTGATTATCCGTCTTTGGAGTCAGCTGAGGTGTTTCATGCACTCCTGTTTGCCTCTGGGTAGTGGGTAGTTTTGTCTCTGGTTGGAGTGCAGGGTACTGTGCAGCTAGATTTCACCTCTCATAGCAGCCGGCTCTGTTTCGCCTGGGCATGTTGTCCTTTGCAGGTTTTTTCTCTTGTTTTTGTTTTTTTGCCTGGTGGGGGGGGGGGGGTCTGTCCATTGGTCTTGGCCACACCAATTTATATCTTGGTGGTACTTCACTAGGCCCCGTGAGTGAACACGTCCCAGGGGTTTAGCTTTAGCAGTTTGTTTGGTAACTTTGGGCGCCGGTTAGCAGTACTCTGCCTGGACTTCCCTTAGCAGTACCCTACCTGGGCTTCCCTTAGCAAGATTATGCAACTAAGGGCCCTGGGAAACCCCACAGGGGCTCTTTGGTCCAATGGATGGGACCCCTGGGTTCCCTCACGCTTTGTGCGAGTTTGAAGGTTGTTCTGTCCCCTTGGCTCAGGGTGACACTCACTGGTTGTGCCTCTGTTATGCTGCCTGTTGGGTCGGTCACACCTTTGACCCGGAGTCCTGCTAGTTTTGTTCCTTGTTTGTACTCCAATACACCCAGTCCTCTGATCATGATATTAGGGTGCAGGCAGCTTCGACGTTGCATGCTTGGTTTAGGTTGTTGCAGCATGCTAGGTTGGTTGTTATCCCAGATGCCCTGAGACTACCCCGTTTTGGTTAAAGGGACCCAAACTTGGGGGTGTTGGTTGCTTCAACATTGGTTCAGTCCGCACCCCCTTGTTCTTCCCCTTCTTCTGTTGTTCGTCCTGGTGTTCACCCTTCCTCCCCCTTGCTTCCGACTCCGAAGCATCTGAGTGTTTTGGGGTCGGGGCAGGGTTTAGTTGGTGTTAAGACTGGCAATTTCAGGGGATGCCCCTTCCGGTGTAGCAACAGAAGCATTCTAGCATGTTCCTCCAGCTGGAGCTTCAGGGTCTAACCAGTGGGCCCCCTTCGTTCCTGCTTTTTCAGCTGCTCATGCCTTTTCTTTTGAGGCAGGGGACTTGGAGGACGGCTCAGCCCTGTGTCCTCCTGGGGAGGTTCCCAGGGCGGGGGAGGTGTTGACTTGAGGGCCTTGGGCCCTGTTGGACCCCGCTTGGGTTTTTGTACCCTCCGAGCGGGGCTTGCAGTTACAGGGAGTGAGGTTTTCTTTTCCTCCCTCCTTGTACAAGTTGGATTTGGCATCAACCCCTCCCCGAGTTCGGTTCCGTGCTCCCTGGGGTTCTTTGGTCCCATCCTTCCGGAGGTTTTCAGCCTCCTGCATCACGCCTCCATAATGGATCCTTCTTCTTTCGTGTTTGGATCTTCATTTCCTTACTGGGTTCATTATGAGGTTCTGGAGTCATCCAAATTTGTTTTAGTTTGGGAGTTCTGCCTTCCTGTTCGGTTTTAGGTAGCAGTTTTTACCATGTGGGGTTTGTTTTGTTACACCTACCTTTCTGGGTGCCAAACTCCGGTCGATGGTAGACATGGAATGCTTCCAAACACATGGGGTTTCCATAGGCCATTGCTCCGTGCCTTTCTGGGGGGAGCCAGGTTCTGGCTCGTGGACCCCAGTAGGCAAGAACTCCATCGACTGATGCCACAGTCTAATACATACATATCAGCCCGGTAAGCTCCGGGGAGCCTCCAGGTCTCACCCAGAAACTGCTGTTTCATTACATTCAACGCTGGATTTCGTGGTCTAGAACAGATTAATCCAATTTACATTATTCCTAACGGGAAAAAATTATTCAGTTCTCGAATAGATCGGCACTCAAATGGCCTTCTGGAACTAATTATATTTGAGTAACGAGGTTCTAATGTATTCTATTTTATTCATATTTAATGTTTATCAAATATTTTTATGATAGACTTGATGTAAACACATTATTCTTTTATAATGTGAATTTGATCTTCATCCTGCAGAAAATATCCAGTCTCTCAAGTGGCCTGAGTGGGGGAAACCGCATGAGTCTGGGTGGGTCTGGTGCGGGGATGAAGATTGCAGCCACACCCATCAAGCCCACGATTTCTATGGTAACCACCAAAACGGGAAACACCCAGACTGTCACCCTTGTTCAGAAGCCTACCACTGGCATTCCTTCTGGACCTACACAGAAGATTGTCAGTGTTAATAGACCTGTTTTTAAGGTGACACCTGGACCTCCTGGTAAGAGCATGAACTTTTGTAATTTTACAGTTAAATTTCTTTGGTGTTTTTTTTAAGTTTTTATCAAATATCTCTCTTGACACATCTTCCATCATCATGTAAAACAGCTTCATACACTTGGTGCAAGGGCACGCACTTGTTTCTGCTTGTATAGAGGTATGAGTATCGACACCCGTCCTTACTCAAGAGAAATGGAAATGGTTATGATCTTTAGTGGGTTCATAGCTACCATGGGGTACAAGTCTGGCTGAGAGATCAACATTCTCTCATATGTATAATTGTATTTCTTCTTTGCAGGAGGAAGTACTCCAAAAATTCAGTTATCATCAGGTAATAATAGCCTTGCTGGTAATGTGATGGTGAATGTGTCATCTGCTTCAGGTGTCAAAATGGAATCGGATTCCTCGTCATTTAAGAGAAAACGGGAGGAGGATGATTATGATTCTGTACAATAACCTCCTCTGCTGCAAAAGCTTGTAGTTTTGTCAAAAGTGGTGTTTGGAAGTACAATTTAGTATTTGTACAAAGCCTGAGGTTCTCCCTGATCTGAATATAACAAGAAAAATATTGATGTCCAGTGAACAACATGGTGTTTGAATATCATCTGATAATTGATAGTTGCAGATGATTAAATGGTTCCCTACTCCAAACAATTCTAAAATCAACTTTCACAAAAGTTTTGGCCAAAGAAAATAGTTTATTATTTAACTCACATGTACTTGCATTTTAAGATACACCAAAACAGACAGGAATGCACTCTGGTGGCCAGTTTTGCAGGGTACAGCATACCATAAGAGACAAGAAGCTATTGACTGACTGACTTTGGACTCTCTGCATGCACATTAGTTATTAGGAGAACTTACTTAACAGGACATTTGTGACCATCCAAATACTTGAAGGATTCAGATCACATCTATATATATATGCCATGTTGTTTACTGTAGTAGGGTTATTTAATTGTTTATGGAAAATGTATTTGAACACTTAAAAACATAGTATTGTGTCATTTATTGGCAGTTGAATTATGTGCTGTTGCTGATGGATGAGTTCAACATATTTAGGTACAAATAAATGCTAATATGCATTTCTAAGTTTATTTTATGTGATTAAAGGAATTAAGAATTTCTTTAGCTTTTACTTTTTATGATCAATCTTGAAAATGTGTGATAAGGCATTAATTTAATAAAATTGTTGTTACTACAAGTGGTGTTTAAGTAACTTAATAAATCAAACTAAGTCAACCATTTATATAGCGTATTAAAATCAGTTTTTATGCCTATGGTGCATTCATTGTTGGAATTGCAGCGTTTGATGGATAGTTTGTGCTGTATTACCCTTGTTGGTCAGAAACTGGAAGGAGCAAAAGGCCAAACTCCTTATCAAGAGTTTCTGACAAAATGTAATTGTTGTCAGGTTGTCAATAAAAGAGTTAGGTCCTCTGGGGCACCAGTTTTTAAATGTTTGTAAATTTCATATGCTTTGTAAAGAGAAATAATCTATATTAAAACAAATATTTTTAGGTAGCAGTTTAAGTGATAAAAAAATTAAAGCTAATAAAGATAAAAAATATATCTATAACAATTTACCACATAGGATAAAAACCTACACTTGTGTATTTGTGAAATTTATGTAAGGAATTTACACCATCTTTTGCACTCTCCTGAGTGCTTTGTCTAGGTCTGAGTGTGTGATTAGGACCAAACTTACATTCTCAATGTCTAATGAGGCTGCTATCCTGAGTCCAATCCTCTTATTCTTCTTGTCTTGACTGCCTGCCCAGGTGACCAGGTCAGGTGGTTAAGAAGGATAAGAGGATTGGACCCAGGATTGCAGCCTCTTTAGACATTGAGATGTAAGTCTCTTCCTAATCACACACTCAAATCTTGATAAAACACTCAGGAGAGTGCAAAAGACTTGGTGTAAATTCCTGACATAAATTTCACAAATACACAAGTGTGGGTTTTATCCTATGTTGTTATGTCTGTGAAAAGATATTACCATTACTAATTTACCACTTAATGTTAACATGTACAATATAGCATAAAATTTCAATTCATTCGGCCAGGATCCTATTTGATCCTTGTTATGGTCTACATTTCATGGTGGATTTTTTATTTTTTGTTTTTTAAAGTAAAAAAGTATTTATCCTGTGCAAATAATTGAATTTGTATTTGCACACACTTTTATATGAAAATCAATTTGCAAAAAAAGTATGTTCTTAATTTAGATAAAACCTTGAAAATATAAATTTTTGTTCAATTACCTTTAATGGTAAGATTAACTACTTTGTCACATTCAGATGACCATAATTTTTGGTCTGAAAAGCCCCCTCAGTGGACAGTGCCTTGGTGTGGTGAGAGGGCTCTTGTGTGCCGCCTGGAGGTAGGACGAGGTGGCTCCCACTTCCCTCTCCTGTCTACTGTAACGACGCAGAAGTTTAACCCATTCGCATATGTTAGCGGTGTCTGGAGACCTGTGCACTCCCTCGTTCTTTCATCCAGGAGTTGTAACCTATGGGGAAAAACACACTTCTTTGGTGGAGTAACAGGAGTAAGATGGGTAAAAATTAGTAAAACTGGAGTAAAAATGAAAAAAAAAATAATTTGGTGTGACTTGTCTGAACCATTTGGCTCGTCTAGTTAAACATTGGGTCAAGTGGCCATTGTAGGGTTGGTGTCCCTATTGGTCCCTGGAATGCCATTCGGCCCAGTAGTAGTGAGTTACGTATCCTATTCTGGTTACCACTGGGGTTATTTGCCCTTGTCCTTATAGGCCTTCCATGTGGGCTTCATGGTGGGTGGGGGTGCTGGACAGCGAAGTATCTTTGTTATCTTTTATGTTAACTTTTGACCATGGTTCTCCTCAGACTCAAGGGGTAGGTGATTAGGCCCCATGAGTCGAACCATGCTGGATGAACGGGTTCCATAGCCCCAGCTATGTCGGGCCCAGACCATGCATTGTATCTGAATGCCCCAACTGACTCTCCTTTCCAAACCCACTTCTGTGGTTGGGTTGAACAAGTCCCCAGTGGCGACTGCCTCATTTCCTGGTGTAGCTGCTCCTCCCATTATGACATCTCCCATTGAGCTCGCACACATTTGCTTCCTACTTCAACTGCTACTGTCCAGACTTTGTTCAGCCCCACTTTATGGCCTAAGTATTACGATCTTTGTCAAGATGAACATACCTGCCCTGTTGCTGTGTACATCCACAGACACATAGTTGATTGTGGATTACTTTTAACCCTACCCGGGCTGTCTCATGTGTTGCTGCAGCCCCTTCTCAGGAGGCAGTTGCTCACCTAGCTTTTCTGGGGGGAGCCCCGTCAGCTCCCCGGAGCTATCCAGGCTGAGTGGATATGTATAACTTTCTGGCATCAAAGTGCTTGGAGTTCTTGCCTACCGGGAACCACTAACCAGAACCTGGCCCCCTCAGAGAGGCACAAGGAGCAATGGCCTATAGAAACCCCCCTGTGGTTGGGAGCATTCTATGTCTGCCATCAACCGGGATAGTCATCCAGAAAGGTAGGCGCCCCAAAACAAACCCCAATTCTGGTAAAAATACTGCTACCGAAAACCGAACGCGTGGACAGAACTCCCCAAACAAAATTATCATAGCATGACGTCGCCGCGCCGCCGTTTGCGCAACCCCCCCTCCCGGGGGGGGGGGGGGAGACCATCCACGCTGGCGATCCAACTGGTAGTTCTTTGCTGATGGAAGTACTAGCCAGTCGAGTGCCTCTGGCTCCGGTTTTTGTCTCGGTTCTGTGCCTTGTGGTGTGGCCTGTCTCTTCTGGTGGGGAGTGAAATTCCATGGTACTCGGGCTGCATGCGCCTAGGGCTCTCTTCCCTATATGCCTTCTAAGTACTACCCTTGGAGCTTTGGGCCCACCTTCCACAAGTCACCTTGGGTTCTACCTCCGCTGTGTCCTTTACTGCTCGGTACTGGGCCACCCTTGGAGTCGGCTGGGGTTTTGTTGCCCTTGTTTGTCTCTGGGTAGGTGGTAGTTTTCGTCACTGGTAGGGGCGCGGGGTGCTGCACAGCTAGTTTTCACCAGTAACAGAGGCCGGCTCTGTTCCGCCTGGGTACATTGTCCTCTTGCAGGTTTTTTCTTTTTTTGTTTTTGCCTGGTGGGGGGATCTGCCTTTATGGTCCCCCTTTACTGTTCTAGGTGTTTTTCTTTAGATATTTTCTGTTGGTGGTCCTCCTTGCTTGGCCCCCGTGAGTGGACACGTCCCGGGGTTCAGCTTTGGTAGATTTGGTTGCCGGTTCGCAATACCCTGCCTGGGCTTCCCTTAGTATGTAACCAAGGCTAAGGGCCCTGGAAAACCCCACTGGGGCTCCGTGGTCCTATGGATGTGTCCCCTGAGGTCCCCTCCTCATGTATTGCGAGTTGAGTTTGACGGTTGATCTGTCCCCTTGTTTCAGGGTGACACTCACTGGTTATGCCTCCGCCATGCTGCCTGTTGGGTCATTGTTTCTTATGACCCAGAGTCGTGCGACAGGTGTTGTCTGTACGTGCTCTCGTTCACCCAGGCCACTGGTTATGATAGGCAGGTGCAGGCAGCTGCGGTGTTGCATGTAAGGGTAGGTTGCTACAACGCTCTTGCCGTAGAGTTCCCGGGGTTTTGGAGGGGTTGCCTAGGGGGGGCCTCGGCCCCATTTTGCCCCGCTTGGGTCTTTGTACCCTCGGTGCGGGGCTGGCGGTTCCTCAGAGTGGGGTTGTTCCTTCCCCCTATGCGTTCTGTTGGTTTCGGGTCTACCCCTCTCTGGGTTCGGTTCCGTGTCCCTTCGGGTCCTTTGGTCTCGTCATTCCTGGGTGGTGTATTTTGCCCCCCCCTTTTCCCCACCCTTTTTGCGCTTTCATGGCGATACTGTTCCCTCCATATCGGGGTACCTGTGTGTCCCTTGATCAAGGGTGTCTTTTTGTCGGTATGTACCTCCATGCATTTGTGCTTGCTTGTCGTGGTTCTTGTTGGTTCGCTAACCTTTTCGTATCTTCCAATATTATTGGAACGTAGTTCGTTGCATACCCCCTTCCTGGTGTTTGTACGTTATGTGTATACGTTGTGTCTGTATGTTATGTGTATGTACGATATGTGTATGTCCGCCTGGTGTACGAGCCGCGCCACCCGGTGGACAGGTGGTGCGGTTCATACCTCGCACACTGGGGCCGAGGTGTTGGTTTTGTTTCTGGGCGGTGTACTCGTGTGTTCCGCATCGTTCATCGCGGTTTGCTATGGCTTCTTGCTTGTTTTCTCTCTTCAGTCATAGCCCTCTACAAATTTGCATACAAATTTGTACATAACCCACTGGTCAGGAAGACCAGTGGGTTATGGTCTGTGTACACTTCCACTATATTACCTGTGAGGTAAACTTCGAACTTTTTACATGTTAACACTAGCGCCAACGCCTCTTTTTCTACCACTGAATAATTGCATTGTGCCTTGTCAAATTTCACAGAGTAATAATATACTGGGTGTTCCACCTGATCATCCCCAGTTTGCAACAACACTGCACCAGCACCCGAGTCAGATGCGTCAACATGAATTTTAAACGGTCGGTCGAACCTTGGACTAGCAAGCACTGGGGCGGAAGCTAAGATCAATTTCAAATTTTTAAATGCCTCTGCACAGTCTGATGACCACTTAAATTTAACGACCTTCCGCAACAAGTCTGTGAGAGGAGTGGCAACACTGGAAAAGTACTGACAAAAGCGTCGATAGTACGCACACATATCGATAAATCTTTTAACGTCCTTTTTAGACTTTAGCACTGGATACTCCAGAATGGCACTGATTTTATCTTGCCGAGGTAACACTTTTCCTTGGCCCACTTCATAACCAAGGTACGTCACTGTGCCTTGGCCAAAATTACTATCAAACCACACCCAAACCCAAACTACTATACTACCACACAAGGGCAGGGATGGGTTCATAAGTGATGCAGCTTAGAAGTAATATAAATAAAAATTGTTCTTCATTCTTTAAAATGGACAAGCAAATTTTGGGTAAATTGTTAGGATGTCTTCCAGAACACCTGATTCAATAAAATAGTTACACAGTTGGTGGTACAAGAGGCCAGGAGGTCTAAAGTCCGTTACGGTTTCATATTCATCAATATAGTGTTCTAGTGATGCATTAAAGGTTTATCACAGAGTTTACAATCTGAGTATTCTGGTAGTGGCTCAGCCTCACCAACCT